CCGGAATCAATCGTCTATCTACATGTTGGACAAATCTTCCCCTTCCGAGCACATGAGTATCCGACTCTTCCGGTATTCCATCCTTCTTCCGAGGTCCAGCTCGGCTCTTTCTGTATACTGCCTTCTGGCCGATATAACAAGCTTACTGAGTCCAGCCGAGAGTCTGCCGAATACTACCGACAAGTATCCCAATACCGGGTAGAGTCCTTCCTCCTTCCTCCTAAAACTGAATATGAAATAGCACTAGAGATACTAGCAGAGGAAATATCTGCTAGTGTGAAACTTGTAAACCAACCATCAACGGATACAACCGACAAGTGGGTACCAGTGATTTTCAACACTTTTGTACTGTACAACCGGTCAACAAACTCGCAGGTTGTTCTCTCTACACCTTCACCCCTGCTACGAAGCACCGCCTCCGCGGGGGCCGTTGAGCCGCATGATCTGTCGTCCAACAAACTCCCGCAGAGGGTCATACCACTATGGGTTTAGTTTAGCGGGTTAACAGAATTGTAGATACATGTTAGCAAGATCCATCCAGTGTTCTCAACCGTCCAGGGCGCAACAGAGGGACTGCCAAGAGCCCGGGGCGGGACGGGATGGGACGGCAAAATATAGTCCGTCCTCGTCCTTGAAGCCCTAGGACGGCCGTGATGAGGAAGGATGATGAGCGCCACCATTTGAGACAACTTCTAGTAGTACGACAGGTGATTACATAGGACCACCGGGGATCATAGGGGATGGTGGCGGACAGTGGGGGATGACAGGGGACTACGGAGAAGGGCTGGGGGTTTAAGGGATGGCAGGGGATGGTGGGTGACTGTAGGTGATGGCAGGGAGCTGTCAGTGAATGCTCCTTTACTATTATGTGTCAGGCAAGTTTAGGAAAAGACCGGACGGGACGACACAATGTAGTCCCTCCTGGCCCTTCACTCCTACCTGTCGGGCCTGTTAGGAAAATGACGAGACGAGACGATAAAATGCCGTTGCGAACACTGGATCCAACAGACCTAGTGGGATGATCACATATTACATTAGGAGGATGCTCATCCTTCCAGGGAGCTAAGAGAGAAGGCAGATTTCTCGGGATTTTACCTTAGGGGCTGCAGACCTGTGCGAAAACTGGTCTGCGAAAACTTTTCCTTTCATCTCCGCCTTATTTTGGGTGTGGTGCGACGAAAATATTATACGCCCTCCTACCGTATACAGTACGGTACTCAAGTAAGGCCACCATACACGCTATGCAGACAAGTGGGGAGTGCATGGGTACGTAGTCAATCGGCGCACGATGGGCAATGAGACCCATTCTGGGAAGTAGTTTTCACTGTGCACCTGTACTTGTGGTACTTTTATACACCACTTGCACGTCGGCCTGCGTCGTGAGTTTTGCGGGTACAGTGCGAGTACCTGCCACTTCTCGGCACCACGTTTAATGATTCCAGTAAATGCGTTACACAAGCTAAGGAACTTTCTCGAGCATAGGCTACCCTTGAGAATAGTTACCAACTTGTATATATTTTCTGTGGCCAAATCCCGGGTCTTTGCCGCAAATTCTAGGTTTTTATAAAACCCTACCGTTACACAACGGAACGGCTTCTAGCAGCAGTCCCACACGCCGATTTTACGGCATTTGATCACGAGCACTCTCGCAACCGAGCACAATTTTCCTATTTCTTTCACAGCTGCGGAACGCGCATTCAAGGAGGGGTGTTGGCGACCACACTTGTATTGCACTCTTAGTGGGGACCGGTAACGGCGACTGGAGTGAGTTACCGGTATACGCAACTCGCTTGCTATTTCGTCACCTATACTTGAGGAGGATATCTAGTGATACCTGGGCCACTTCAATTGGAAACTCTTACAGACTATCCTGCCCCCCGATGCACGCCGATTCAAGCCCAGTTGTTTTCGGAACCTCCCGGTATTATTATTGGTGTGTTTCCGGAGCAATGAGTCACTTTCCCTGTCTTATGATCCAACCTTGTTTGAGGCAAGCTCCTGTGAGATTCTTGCTACTCGTACGGTATGGCCATCGGGAAAAGAAACCAGTGAGGGACCAACAGCTCTATCCGTGTACCGTAACTTATCGGTACCATTTGTTAGATTCAAATTTTCGTTCTCAACAACTCCAACTACAGGGTACAAGTACCAGTATTCCAAAAGGCGCCGCTACTATATGACGCAGAAAAATGGTTCGCAGTCGGGAGGCATTTATCGTGGCATATATAAAAATCCCATAATAATTTAATGAGCCCTGTGCTAATTGTGGTTTACGATACCGCCAAGAATACGACCGAAAACCAACCAGTTAAATTTCTCCAATTTTGAGCCAAGGATAGGGTTACTCGAGTACTCGTCCCCGGCCATAAGTACCTGGGAACGAGGGGACGAAGAGGGTAATGGAATTTGGACAAAAGACGAAGTGGATGGAAAGGAATAGAAAGAGTGGAAGGATAACAGGGGAGGAGCGGAGAAAAGGGATATTAATCCAAACTTAGAGAGAAAATTGGGGGGGATGGAGAAAAGAGAGGACGGAAGAACGAAGGAGGGAAATGTTAAGGGTAGCGAGAGAGAGGATGAGGAGACTGAGAGAGAGAAGGAGGGAGAGGATGGTCTAGTCCCCCAAATGGTACCCATTGCAAGTAACATGGGGGGATGTAGGCGGAAGGAAGGGAGAAAGGAATGGACGACAAGGAAGTTGGGAGGATTGATGGAGGAGTTAAATTGTTTTGTACGGGAGTAGAGGGGAGAGCGCAGATAGTTTAGTTGAGTTTAGAAAGCGCGAAATGGAAAAAGGTTTTTTTTAAAAAAAACAAAAAGTACCTGGGAACAGGTTCAAATAATTTTATGTAAACTATGTACTTGTGTAACAAGGACCCCGCCAATCCGGCATATGCCCCTTATGGGATTACGTCCAGGAGGTAAGGGAAAACAGGGGGGGTATAATACTCGTACATGGATATTTTGTGTAGGCGCTCAGATACGCACAGATGTTTTTACCATATACTCGTATTTCTTTAATTCTTGTTTTTGGGTACTTATGGCCGGGGACCAGTACTCGAGTACTCCAGTACATCCCATCCCGTCTGCTCTCCCTGGGCTTTTCTTCAGCCTCACCCCTGTGTCAAGACTTTCGATTTCTGAAGAGTAAAGTTCAACCCCCCTCATAAAGCCAAGATGCGGGTGCTCTAATTCCCAAACCGTGCTCTTGCACTAAGCCTTTATTATTCAGCGAACCAGAACCGCCCTAGATAGGATCTTACTCATAGCTCCCCCAGAACTACAGAATTATTAGCCCTATATTCATAGTAGGGTCCTAGGGCACTTGTTATATCGTATGTCGTTTATGCTGACTTATTTCAGGGGTCGCGAAACGATTTTAAGTTACAATGACAATTTATATCTGTGGCGACACTCATAATTATAGGAACATGTTCACGGGGAATTTAAATGTTGCCTACACCAGAACACAAAATCGAGGACCTCAGTTTGGTTTTGGGAACCAAGGTATCATCAGCGCTCCCGAGAGCATTCTAATAGGGACCGCGCTCTCCCGACTGGTACAAGTACCTCGGCCTTACCGGATAATTCCCTATTGTAGGAACAGCAAGTTCACCGGCCGTCTAGATCTCATCGAGTTAGTAAAGAGGCTTGCCCACCCTATTAATCACAACCGGATTGCACTCCACGGATTGGGCGGTTCTGGGTATGTTTTGATTAATTTGGGATATGAAAACTTTATTAACCCTGCTCAGGAAAACTCAAATCGCCCTCGAATATGTTTATCAGCGCGGGAGCGAGAGCGATTGTCATGTTTTCTGGGTGCAGGGAAGGGGGATACCAGGATTTAGTGCCGGCTTCAGGGCCATTGTTCAACGCGTTAGAATTCTTCTGGCCAACGGCGAGAGAGACGAAGAGGAATTACTATCTAGTGTAAAGAGGTGGTTTGAGGGCCCAGACAGTGGCGATTGGATCCTGGTGATTGACAGCGCCGACAACGAGGAGGACTTTGTTGGCAATAACAGTGCCATCGCGAAGTTTGTGCCAAGAGGCCCTAGAGGTACCATAATATTCACAACAAGATCTCTCCCGGTCGCATCTCGCCAGGAGTGCGAGGTAGTAAATGTTGGGAAGATGGAGGAGGAGGAAGCTCGAGTGTTATTTTGGAAACACTTTGGTAGCTGGGGCAATTTGAAAGATAGGGAACGAGAGGCCATCGAGAACATCCTAGGTTCGGTGAATTACCTGCCGCTGGCTATCGTGGGTTCAGCCGCTTTCATGGTCGAGACAGATACGCCACCCTCTGACTACTGGAAAATTTCCCGGGAGAACGAAAAGCGAGTGGATACGCTACTTTCGCAGAAGTTCGTCAATATCCGGCGAGATGCTGATTTGACAAAAAGCATTTTAAACACGTACTTCATCATCTTCGACCGAATTGAGGAATATATACCACCGGCGGGCAATCTCCTGCGGCTAATTGCCTTCCTTGATCGTCGAAATATCCCCGAGCAGCTCCTGCGAGAATCTGGAATTGAAGGGATGGACGATGTGATCGGATTTTGTCGGACAATCATGAAACTATCGGGATTCTCATTGGTTACAGCTCTCACACGGGATGGCGAGATATTCTATGAGCTTCCTCACTTAATCCAACTCTCTGTACAAGCCTATTTATCACGAGAAGAGTTAGCGGAATGGAGCGCTACTGCACTCAAGGTCGTTTCACGGGGGTTTCCTAGATATGAGCACGAGGTGCGCCATATTTGCGAGGCATACCTCCCGCATGCACTCGCCGTAACCAGAGGTAGAACAGATGTTGCTGCTGAAGACCTTTGCTTCCGCATGGGAGAGCATTTTCTGCATTTGGGTTCCTACAGCAATGCGGAATCTCAAGTCCGTCGATGCATCAGACTTCGCGAGGAGAATAAAGATCATGCCTGGAATATGGGTCATAGGAGATTTATGCTCCTGGGGAGAGTGAGCGCACACCAAGGAAGGGCAAAGGAGGCAGAGATGATATTTCGGAATGTACTTGAGGATCTTGAGCGAGTATCGGGTTCAAATAGCCTAGACTACTTGGACTGCTTATCCTTCCTGGCAAGTGTGATGAGTGATCTCGGAGAGTATGGCGAGTCGGAAACGATGCACCAGCATGTACTGGAGGGGCGTGAGAATATTCTTGGGTTAGACCACCTAGATACACTAACTAGTATCAGCAACCTGAGCATTGCTCAATACCAAGGAAAGAACAACGAATCGGAGGGGACAATCCGGCATGCACCGGAGGGGCGCGAAAAGACTCCTGAACCAGACCACCCAGATACCCTCACAGATGTCAACAATCTGGCTACTGTGCCGCGATACAAGGGAAGGTACGGCGAATCAGAGACGATGGATCGGCGACGCCGAGTAAAGAACGATGGATCAGATACGATGGATCACCGTGCACTCGAGCTGCCTGCCCACGGTCTCGGACCAGACCACCCAGACACTCTAGTTAGTGTTGACAACCCAGCTATAGAACGGCGATCCCAAGTACAGGATGAGGAATCACAGGAGGTGAGGCGGCGTGCGCAGGGGGGCCCACAAAAGCCCCAGACCACCCGCTGCTCCATTTTGCATGCTGCCTGGTCCTTCTTCTTTGGACCTGGGCAGCCCCCGGCAAGGGCGGTGGACTGAGAAAGTGACTCGGGATGTGCCACCGGCAGAAGGATGGACCAGGTGGGGTAGGAGTGGGTTAACGGTTTTCAACGCCGTGCGAGGCTGCGGGAATCTACTAGGAACAATAGGTGAGTGTGTGGCACTAACAGGGGTGATGAACGCGAGGCCGTGTCCAACTATTGACGTATTGTTTTCTATGCTCAAGGGATGTTATTTCACGAAGGAAGTGTTGGGCATTTTTCCCTTCTTTCTACATTTCACTTCCCATTGTTTCTTGTCCCTGTTAGTGCCGTATTTTATTATTTTTCGCAGCGAATATTGTCGTCCACCCTTTCGCCCCTAAATATCCTTGAGCCACTTTTTTGTAATCATTCAAAGTTGAAAGTGTGAAGGAAAAATCTGTGTTACCCGGCAGCCTCCCATGCACTACTTTAGTAGTTATCCTGGCGGGTTCCAATAATCACCGCCCCTACGTATATTGCAAGAGTTTAAAAGAACATAGTATGACTGTACACCTGCTTTAGCCCCCCCCCCAAAGGCCCGGGGCCAGATCCTCCGATTGACCCGACAAGCTCAGTCGCAATCTTCTCACTTCCGGCCCCTTGGGCTGCCCGACCTCCCCCCTGCAAGCACCGTAGCAGATGTCTATCGCCCGCCCATGGCCCTGGGCTACCAAGTAGAGTGCGAGGGGTCACAGCCAACGTAGTCCCCAGCAGTGGACGGGCACCAGGGGATTCTCGGACCCTATCATGACAGAGCCTATTAGCAGTTAGAAACTGGGATGCCCCGTCATGGAGCAAATAACGTTACGTTGAATTGGAGTCTTATCCCCGGCGGTACGCCCTCTAGCATCGAGAAAGCCGCAGACCCAAGCCACCCCACCACCTTCATTTCGCGAAGCCGGCCAGGGCTTGGTTCTAACCCGGGAGTCGCAGGCTTCCCCTGGAGCCGGCCTGGCAGGACTGCAAAAACCTCCCGCTTTCGAACGACAGGGGAAGACTTCCATGATTCCGGTATTTTTCAGAATCCTACAAACCGCGAGATGCTGCTGGGTATGCCCTCGCGATAGTTTGTCTGCTTGTTCGCATAGTCCCCAGGAGCGCGCTTTGGTTTCGGACACACCCCGGCAGCAGGGGTTTCTCTTTCCTTTGTTAGCTTTTGCTTGCTAGTGAGAGGGAGACATACCTGAATGGACAGGATTTAGTTCATCGTTTTGTTGTTGATATATCCTCCTATCATTACCCTTGGTTAGTTGAGTGGGATAGCGAGCGCCTGTGGACTCCCCGCTCGCGAGTTGTTCGTGTGTGAGATCTTGGCGTTTCGTTTCGTGGTGTTCGCTGTGCGCTACTGGTTGCGCCATTGGTTGCGCCATTTCGCTGTTCACCCATTTACGTTTAGTTTCACAGCGCGTCATTCGTCCGTTCGTTTCGTTCGTTCGTTCGTTTCGCTGTTGCCATGCCGGTAACATTCGCCGATCCGACGTTTAAAACAGAAAATGTGTGTACGAGTACTCGTCCAGTACATTGACACAGATTTACTAGAGCCACTAGTGGATGAGTCAATAGTTTCTGCACGTATCTTAGGTGTCCACAATACCGTAGGTGATACCGGTATGTTATCTTCGCCATGATTTCATATGGGAGCTGGGATCAAACGACCCCGGGATGCTGGTCCCCGCGCAGATCCACAGAGTAAGCTCACGTACTCGCCTAAATATTTGTGACCAGCCAGGTCACGAGGACAAAAAGGAAAGGAATGCCTTGCGATTCAGAGCTGTTGGTGTGGAAACTTCGAGGGTTGTTTATGGCACCCAAGGTAGAGGAAAACGGCTTGAAAATCATATAACACGGTAATTGGAAACTTGAGAGGACTCTACCTGCCATACAATTACAAAGCATGCCGGGCATCTTCAAATTAAGTAGTATCCACACACTTCCATCCCCCCGAACCCGTTGGAGATATTACTTTATTTCCTTCGTGTGTCTATGATGCAGGTATTGTAATAGATTAGCAGATATTGAGACAAATTTGCAGATGTCGGTTAAATTTGAAGATAGTTGCCGGCATCTTCCGACATCTTGTACCCATTGACAAAATAGTTATTAAGCGCACCGCATAGGCCAAATCTTATGGGGGCTGTCAGGCATCCATAAAGTTTGTATAGGTCCCGGGAGACCTAGGCCTACGAAGCCCAACCCAGTCCCACTTTGGCCTGGCCTGGTGGTACTGTACAACTGCGAGTGTGGCTGATAGATATATTCGTCAGGTGAGTCCGATAAGAAAATTTCGGTGCACCTTTTGGCTGCGAGGTGCCCCTAGATAAGGCACGTGACGAATATATTTATCGGCAGCACTCGTACTATCGTAGTATCCCTCATCAGCTAAGTCCAAGAAACCATTCACCTAGTGGCGAAGAAAAGCTACAGGTCGGGAATTCCGTCTGGCCTCCTCACCCCACAGGAGGCTCATTTGCCAGGCAGACAGCTAACCCACCGATCTCCCACCACACAACACTTGATCCTGAGACCCCACAATGAAAAAAGTGAAAACTACTACAAAATAATTCCTTGTAGATTTGGGACATGAGGGAGTAATTGAGAGAGTAAGAAATTCTTTTTTGTATCCCTTAAGCCGTCGAGACATTCCGGTCTATTTTAAAATCTGTAACACTAGCCTATTTGAGTAATCATGATAAGAAAAACCTAGTTGTGTGAAAGAAGCGTAGTTCTCAGAATACCACAAAAGATGTACTTCTCAGTATGACCATGATGGAAACAAGACATTCCGCATAGATTTACTCCCAATTACTCAAATAGGCTGGTGTTACAGATTTTAAAATGGACCGGAATGTCTCGACGGCTTAAGGGATAAGAGGGCGCCTTGCATTTTTCCATGTGGTATGGGAGGGTTAGGGTTATAGGGGGTGATCCAGGGAATAGTCATCATCCACAACCCTTACCCACCAGTAGCCCTGTAACGTACCAGTAACTTCCCAATGTCCGGATAAGTTACAGGAGAGAGCATTGCGCCCTGTTCCCCCACGATTTAAGCAGTACTACTAAACACATCTCCAACCTCCATCTTCACTACCTCATTTTCTAGCGACAAGTGGCAGACAACTTTACATCGCAATATGATAGCCCTGAGATGCAGGCTGAAATGATGTCGAGTGGGGGCCATGAAGGATTTAGTCCTGGCTATAAGATATTGCGGTATAAACAGTTTGCTGTGGTTTCTGGACAAAGTGGGGATGAGATCTTCAATGAATGTACTTGCCTGACTTTTCTTGCCAGTTAATAGGTATCACCCTATTGGGGCATCTATTCATTTCAAACATCCAACATGGATAATGGGTATCGTTCCATGGCTGCAATATACCCAGCGGACTTACAGTACCAGTACCTATGTTTTACACCCCTACTGTACCTGTCACGGCCACCAAATTTTCTTCACCCTTGACGCGTGTCTGGTACCTGGAGGAGCTCCCCGAAGTTCTCAGGATTCACGTTCTTGAAGGAATGGGTGTGGCAAGACGGACCCAGTTGACCATGTGCAGCAGGTTGGATTAGTACGTGGCGATTCCACGTAGCAAAATATAAAGAACTGCACCTGGTCTGATACAGTGAAGGGTCTCTTAGTGTTTTGGAACGTACAGGAAGGACGTACGTTATAGATCGGAGGATTTCATATGGTGTTATGTTATGTTGAGCTCGGAGGAGCTCCGTTAGATTGAGGGATTTCCTTTGATATATCTATGGGGTGTGCCCCTTGATATTTTACTTTCTTTACGCAATCTGGTAATCTCCTACCTTTGTATATACTTAGGAATTACGTCCACTCCTTGCTTTCATGTTTATCGTGAAGTAACCTTCAGATTGTTTACCACTCCGCGTTCCGGACTACGAAAGATAACGACATTGATACCTCGTTACTCGTTATCTTTTCATGTTCTTGCTTTGCCAGTCTTAGCTTGACCACTAGTAGCGAGCCTGCAGTATGGCTCGCTATCTTTGATTAATACCCTTTGGCCTACCATCGTGTTCGCCAGTACTCAGTTAACTATCTTGACGATAGTTCTCCCGCGTGAACATTTGCGCCCG